AGGAAAGAATGCGTACATTCACCTAACATAAATAAGCCAGGACAAGCACCACTTGGGACCGTCACATTAATTTCTCTGGACCGAGCCAGCCGGGAAAAAACCCTCGCGCTGACGGACGCACGAATGAGGGAAAAACCGGGTGTATAACCCCAAGTGGCAACATGGCAGCATAAAAACAGGCACAACATAGCTACAGCCAAGAAAGAAGGGAAGAAAATGGGCAGACATGAAGGGTGGGAGGGTAGGGACACTGGTGAGACACATAAACTGAACTGACTGAAGGAGTCAGGCAAAAAGAACAGAAGCAAAAAGAGAACACATCAGATTCCATATTCGCAAGAAAAATAATTTTGTTGCGCGAGAAATCATTTCTCGCCTCACTCGCTTGGCCGGCGAGAAATATAACTTCAAATTTGATATGTCAATAGTAACAAGGTTTCCAGCCTTACTTTAGTCAACTGCCCACGAATTTTCCAAACACTTTTCGACCCATTACCATACATGTACGTGGATACATGGGAATAAAGGCAGTCAGAACCATCCTATATGTACTGCAATCGATACATGTAGGTGCGCAGTGATATTAGCACTGACAATAACCTGTCAAAAATTTCACATACAGGGAGTGCGAGGTGCATGTAGGGACTAGCATGCTAGTTCGTGTGGATATTCATTGAATCAGCACTGTCATGAAGCATAGATCGTCCAAGCGAATAGTGACGAAATAGGATGGTCTGTATTCTGCGTGGATAGTCGTAGGAAGCTGTCACATAGGGTGATCAGCCAGACGAAATGCCTCCTTTTCACAATGGTGGAATCTTACGTGTCTGGCATGTAGTTCCTGTCCAGCCAGCGGCACAGGTGCAGGTGTTTGGTGATGAGCACCTTCCTCTGTTGTGACAGGTTTGGCTACATACTTGATGGTGAGACAGACAGACAGACATACACACAGGCACACACAGACATACACACGCACACACACTCACAAACAACACACATACACACATAAATATGTACTGCAGTGATCAGCACCCACCTGGGAAATTCCATGTCCCCACCTCAGCCCAGGGCAACTGAACTTTGACCTATAAATATCTCCGAGGCAAAAAGGGTAAAGCCAACCCCAGTAACAATACCATACCTATCATTATGTCTAGGAAATCTATTGTGTCAGTCAGTCTCATAATTTTAATAAACAGTTTCCCTGGAGACAAGAATGCAATAACAATGAGAAGAAGGACACACTTCAGGGTCTTGAACAACATCTCGAAAGTTTCACTAGCATACTTTCAAGCCTTAGGCCACCCTTTCTTTTTTCGTTGTTTAACGTCCGCGCCCGCGTACCTTTTTGCCTCCGACCGGAAAAAAAAACAAGAAAGTAGTAGTACCAATAATATGCGAAGTTGTAAATACATGATTGTGTAGTTTCACAGTGTGCCGATCATGACCTTAAACTTATAATCTTGCCTCCCGGGCATGCCTTTGTCTTGTGTTCTTTTTCTTTTTTTGTTGGCTTTTAAATATCGTACGGTGTGTGTCCTTGTAAAAATCCAGATGTAATGAATTCATGACATGCTAACTCCATGCTATGTACCTGTTTTGTTGGATTCATCAGGCATGTGCTCCAATGTACCATCAAAGAGTGTTGTTCTATGCCTGCAAGTGCCGTTAGACCCAGAAATATTGTATATATCACATGCTTTACTGGTCAAAATGTTTGATTGGGGTTTCCAGTTTTTGGAATGGGCTTTTGTTTTTTTTCCGCCCTCCCGCGTACCTTTTCGCGAAAAAAAGGACGTTAAACAATGAATTAACAAAGGGTGGCCTTATCGTCAGGTGAAGTATAGGCGAAATCAAATGAGCAAGGACAACGGATGAAGTACAATGTGATCCTGGCTTAGGCCCCTTGCACACTACGTACAAGTAAAAAGTTGCTTTTTAGCGTATGCGTCACTTTCAAGCAAGTCTTTTTTCTATGGCAACTGCCGCCTCACCGCACCGGTGCTGCATGGAGATAGTGCGGGAAATTTTAAATTTTTTAAAACTTTTCTCTCCGAGCTTGGTCTGCAGAAATGTTTGTCGAGTGTTGGTGAAATGCTATCACTTCGACATGGATCTGCGACTTCCCATCGAATGCCATGTCCAGGCCAACACTCCTAGCATACCGATTGAGGTCTTCAGCGATCTCTCTTTCTCCTTCTGTGACCTCTTCTTCATCGTTCCACTTTTCTCCCGCTGGTAGTGTGCCCACAGCTCGAACAACTTCCCCTCCATCTCATCATTGAACACAACTTTCGGCATGCTGAACTTCATCTTCTCAAACTAGCTTCAACGCGACAGAAGGAAACAAACAACGTGCAACTACTCAAAACAAGGAACAAATCGAAGGGAAAAAAGAGCTGACGACAAGAGTCAAGTCAAGAAGTCTCACGGAAGGACAGGCGCAAAGCAAACTACAGTCGCAACATCAGGTGGACGTCATGCCGTTCATGTACGCAGATGACATCGCCCTCGCTGTGTCAAGCAAGAATGTGTCAGCTATGCAACTCACTATGCAGGAATTGCTGGACCACGTCTCTGATTTCTGTCGCCGTAGCTGCATTACACTGAACCCGTCAAAGTCACTACAAGTTGTTATTTCAACGTCTTACCGAGTTCCACACTTGTCTTTGCAGCAGTTCCTCAACAACGTTGCTATACCATCAGCTTCCTCAACCCGCTTCCTGGGGATCGTTGTGAATGCCAACATGAACTTTTCTGAGCAATGTTTAGCTGCCCGTCAACGCATCCACCAGCGTCTGCGAGTCATCCAGGCCACGACTAGTCGGGAGTGGGGCTTGGACCAACAATCAACGACGCGCCTCATCAACCAGTATGTACTATCATCCGGGTTATATGGCGCGGCTGCATACTATGGCCTCACAACGAACAGTGGAAAACGACTGCTGGAGACAGCTTACAACCAGTGCCTGCGCGTCGCTACAGGATGTGTGCCTTCTACACCACTGACCAAGCTCTACGAGGTTGCAGGTGCTCCGTCCCTGCATACAAAGATCACACGCCAGGCTGGGAATTTGGCCAATATTGCTCATCGTCACAGCACCCCAACCCCTGCTCGCACCATTCTCTCCACTCAGGTTCCTCAACGCATACGCCAGGACAAGACCACTTGGCAACAGTTAGCCCAGGAGACTTTGCCTACTCAGCAATTTCTCCCGCTGCCTTCGCGACCACCGCCATGGGCAAAGGTGGAGAACTTGACGATCCACATCACTGACTGCAGCAGAGATGATCCCCCGCATGTCCGGTTGTCTGCAGCCCTGGAGTGCCTGGACAAGGTTTCCTCTCTTTGTGCTCAATCTCAGTCATATGAAGTCTGGACAGATGGTAGTGTCACTGATGAGGGTACAGGAGGAAGTGGCTATCTTGTCATCAAAGTCACTGATGGCCAACGCTCTGAAGTGTGCAGTGGAAGCGATCCTGCAGGCGTGGTAGCAACTTCCTTCACCGCCGAGGTAACTGCAGCAGTGGCCGGTCTCTCTGCGGCAGGAGATCTACTTACGGCTGGCCTCACCAACACAGATGATCAACCCTCGCTGCCAGACCTCATCATCGTTACGGACAGTCGTTCGTTGACTGATTCTGTTGCCGGCGATCCGTACCGTATGAGCCCAGATACGATTCCTGTGTTTGAGGCTATCAAGAGCATTAGCCAGCTTGTTACCAGCATCCACCTTGTCTGGGTTAGCAGTCACTGTGGCTTATTCCTCAATGACAAAGTAGATCGTCTGGCTGCGGCTGGTACCCAGGTTCCCCAGGGTCACGTCCGTCTTCCAGTGCAAGCCGCCAAGACTGCAGTCCGCAAGGCAACACGGTACCCGCCACCACTGCTCGACACCAAGAAGCTCGGTGACCTTCGGACACGGAAAGCGTCCTGCAAGCTGAACCAGCTGATGACCGGCCACTGTAGTCTTCTGAATGGCTACCTCCACCGCATTGGAGTTGCAGACTCGCCTCACTGTGTCTTCTGCCCTGGCGTCGTCGAGGATGCAATGCACTTCCTTTTCGACTGCCCAGGAAGAGCACAAAGCCGCCACTCTGCAGCTCTTCAGTCGTCTTCATCCGTCAGTCAAGCTGTAGCCGACTCTCCCTACAATATTGCACGATTCTTGCAGTTGGAGAAACTGCTATGAAGTTTCGAACACAGTCTTGAAACACGATACATGATGAATTGCTGCTATTATTATGTGAACTCTCATTACTGCGGTATTACCTTCCACATAGTCATTAGTCTAGCATGGCGTCATATATTTGTCTCAATTCAGTGTTTTCCGAAGAATAAAAAAACAGTCCAGAAATGCAAATAAAACATAAACGCGCCTTTGTATACCCGTCTGGAGTTTGCTGAATACGTTTGCGCAACATTTTAGGCTTCCAGCGAAAAGCAGACCGTTTGCATGGTAACTTTTACAGGAACGCAACAAAAATGGGATTTTCTATGTAGTGTGCAAGGGGCCATCCGGCATTATCAATAATTTTCACGAAACGAAAAAGTCTAGTTAGGACCCTCCCCCACCCCCCTGAACGAAAAATAGATTGACTTGACAGCAAGAGTGCCTTGATGTCTCTCATATCAATATTTTTCAAAACGAAACTCCCCTTGACTC